TATTGTAAAAACTTGATATAATTATGAAATATTAGATTATAGATACCTAATTTTTTGTGGTAACTGTTTTAATACTTCACTTTTTAAACGACGAATCATAAAATGTGTTTCTAGAATAATTTTTAACTCTTTCATATTACTGGCGCCTGAAAAGTCCCAACCAAAATTTGTTTCTCGTCCATTACAATAACGAACACCATACTCAATTCTGAAAACATTAATTTTGATTTAACATTAACAGAATGGTGAATTTTAATACAAAAATAATATTAAATTTAATAAATTTTTATTCACTTCTAATATAGTATAAATCTAATACAATTACAATTTTTTTATTTTTTGGATGAATGATACATTTAAATAAATATATATAGATAAAAATAGATAATATTGTTAAGTTTATCAGATCAAAAAACTAAAAAATTAAGAATTAACTAGATCTCATGGGTGCACACAAACTATTAAGTATAAAATGAGTATACAGTATTTAAATAAAACAATCAAATAAAAAAATATATAAAATGCATCTATAAATTGTAAATGAGGTAAGTCATTGTACTATATAACACAGATGTTATTTAAATTCTATGCATAATTTTTAACTAAACCTTAAGTTTTAATTTCTATAAAATTAAAAAATAATAGGAAGATAGATATAAAAATCAGTGAATTGTCATTGTCAGAAACAATAAGTATATATTATTTAACTACTAAAGTATTTATTAAAACTTAAATACCATTAGTATGCATGCTCCCCATGAGTATTTTCAATTATTAAATTATGATTAACAGTGACTCAATTTAAAATTGTATTCAACATTTTTAATGTATTTTTATGTATAATTATAATATTAATACTATTTGATTTACAAAGTTATAAAATAATATTTTTATTTCATAACAATATGTTGTAAGTATGTAAAATAGTAGTAAAAAATATTAATTATTGTTCATATAACATAAACATTAAATTATGTATTTATGTAGGTATACACTTTTCAACTTACGGAGTTATAAAGTTATTTCGAGTTATTGCTTTAATCTGACTATAAAGTTCAATTGGTCTTGACAAAGCAGGTGTACCACTTAACAATATACATTGCTTACTTTGTATTGCTAAAGAAAGGGCTACTTTTGTTCGGGCAGATTTATCATTTTTTAAACTGTGGCTCTCATCCTTGACAAAAAAAAAAAAAAAAAAAAGAAATCAGTAAAATTAAAAAAAAAAAAACACTTAGTTTAATTAAATTGAAACTGAAGAATATTTAAAAATAACATTAATATTAACTAAAATATCTTACAAATACAATAATTCCAAATTTAAATTTTAAAAGCATATCTTTTTTTTTGGTCATTAAATCGTACGAAGTAATAACAACAGCTGGATCAATAAATTGTTCATTAGCCTTAGATAATACACAAATTCCAGTTACAGGAACATTTGGCATCCTTAAACGAACTTCTTCTTCCCATGTATACCTAATATGACAAGAAAATAATATTTATTGAATCAAAATAAATCAACAACCAATCAGTAATCATACCTAAATGCAATAACACTATAAATTAATGATAAACAATCTTTTTATTTACCTCATACTTGAAGGACAAACAATGAGTAAAGGAAAATTATCTGAGTAATATTTCACAATTCCTATAGCTTGTATGGTCTTTCCTAAGCCCATATCATCTGCTATAATACAGCGACCTTTTTTTGATATTCCAAATCTAAATTCAATAAATCATTAAAAAAATGTATAATTTGTTTATTTTTTAATAATAAACTAACTGAACTCCAAGCTTTTGGAATGGATAAAGATTATCCAACATATCATCACCAATACTGCTTATGTCAATTTTTGACCAATGTGTGTCTACACATTCTTTAGTTTTAAACAACTGAAATAAATAATAATGGATTATAATTATACTTATGCATACATTTCATAAAAAATTCAGTACTTTTAAAACAAAATTTGGTAACTTTTCTATTTTTACATGTGGCTCCAAAGGTTTAATACTTATCATAAGCTGGTCATGGTCTTTTATAAAGAATGACCATTCTGATGTTTTTGGATCTAAAAAACATAAATTCCTTGATATTTATTTAAAATTATGTTATACAAAATGTACCTTACCATAATTTTTACTTAATATTGTTTTAAAAGTATCGATTAATTGTTTATGATAGGCAACGTGTACAGTAAACCGTTCTTTTGATATAATTTCACAATTACCATGAATAGGTTTAAATATAGAACTTGGTGAACTATTATTATAATTTAAGCGGGCAGATTTTTCATTAGGTGATGGCAATACAACTAATCCAGTTTTCGATAAAGTGCACTGGTTATTATTAGTCATAGTTTGCTGAGATGTACTTCTAAGTGCTAATTTTGCTGCTAATTTTGCCTGTGCAGCTTTTTTATTCGCTTCAATCATTTTACGCTGTTCGTCAGTTAAACTTGACATGTTAAATCTTCTAACCTTGAATTATTTTGTATTGAGCTTTCCTTATCTATTAAACAAATTTATGTTTATAAATATATTATAATAGATCCTTAACAAATTACATTAAATCATTAAATATTATACTAAATGAAAAGATAAATACATTTTTCACACTAGTAACAAAAGTTTAATTTTTGATGTTGGTTGAAGTCATGAAAAATTACTTTTTCCACTATGGATGAAGGAAAATTAACTATCCCAATTGGATTAATGTATTATAAGAACATGTTTATATACCTTTTTAATATATAAAATACCAGCTGGTAGGTGGATAACTCCTATACTGTTTTATGAATCAAAGAATTTAAATCCTCTGAATGGCAAGAACATTATTAATTATAGTCAGACTTTACCATTTCTGCGATAATATTAATAAGATAACAAAATAATAATCTGTGCAGCTCATATGGGAAGACAAATTTCTTTCCAAGACAATATATTATTGAAAAACCTTAAAAATATAATTAATTCTATGATCTAAATTAATTTAAACAATAACTTGCTAACTATAAAGTATAGTTAAATTGAATATCTAAATAATATCAGATATAAGAACAATTATACATAGAAGATGTATGATATAGGCATTACATTTTTAATAGGTATTTCTCTACTTTATAATCCAATCCACTGAAAATAACATGGTACTAGGCTATTTAACTATGGAAAATTTCAAATATTTAAATTAACAATCAAAAATATTTAGTATACCTACCTAGTATTTACTAAATATTCTGGCAGAATGTACATTTAGTTCAATTGTATTTATAGTGGCATTTCAATGTCGCAATGAATTATGAATACAAAATGTTTCAAGTTAAGTCATCTGAAGGAAATAAATTGATAAAAATATGTAATGAGTTGACAATAGAAGAACCTATTGTAATATTAATCAACAATTAAATACATGAATATTGTATTTCAGCATTCAAAATCAGGTAATCGGAATTGTTTAAATAGATTAAGCGATATCTAATATACTGATTATTTTAAGTAGATACTGCAAAAATATTCATTAATCATTAAACCACAAAAATTAATTATGTATTTACGTTATAACACTTTATGATTACAAATTGTCACAGACCAGTTTAGAATTATCAAAATAACAATAATCGATTAGTGATGAGTACTGATGAGTGACGACTTTCAGCTATCTTAATTATTGCTACAAATCACCAAAACTTGGGAATTTACATTATTTTCCCTCCAATCTAAATATTGATAACGTTATTGATAAGAAGCAGATTATCATTTATCACTGTTATCACTTACTATGTATCATGACAATTGATAATTATGAAAATAAGAACTTTTTATATTTCATTGTTTTATAATTTACACACACTTCATAGACAATGGTTAATATATTAATACTTGAATCTTAGAAGATATTTCACATGAATCATAAAATCATAAATAATGGATAATTAAAGAAAAAATATTATAATCTGTAGTCTGTATTGTAACTTGTAGATAATATAATATTTTTAATATGCGTGATGATCATAGGTACCACTCGTACCTGTGTAAGGCTACCATAGTACTGTTTAATATTAAAAATATTATGACATACCATAAATTATATAGGATTTAAGAATTATGCGTTCATATCTACATGTTACATAATATGCATCATGTATGTATATTGCTTATATGTATGGTGTTCATAGTCTCGACATACGATTAATCCATTTAGTTAAAAATAAAAAAATATTCAACTTTTGAACTAAGTATACCTACGTCGTTTATTGTAACAACATAAAATCATGTAAAAAAGTTATTTTTAAAAATCAATGACAAAATAATTGTATTATCATATTATATTATATAGGTAGGTACCTACCTGGTAAAATTGGCTACATGACACTCGCGTTGAATTCCATGGACTATTTACTAGAGTGTGTTAATTTTTTGGGTTTTTTTTTCGTTCAATATTTATCTAGGTAATTTTTTGACTGTTAATTTAAATGATCATATAATTTTTGAGATAAGTCAAAATTGCTTATTCCGTTTTTTTTTTTAATACAATTTTTTACCCGGTTGTAGGTAGGTATAATTGTAAATGCGGAGTAAGTATAACAATTTAGAGCACAAGTGCACACCATAATAAAACATAATAATAATATCAATATGAAATTAAGTCATTAAGACAGCATTAATTTTAGGTTTTAGTATACAAAGTATAAATACGTAACAATGCGACAATACTATCAGTAAATATTTTGTATGACACTATAAATGTAGAAATCTTATCTGACGTATTTTTCGCATAAATATGAAATTAATATGCGTCGAGTATTTATTAAAGCAGTGCTATTAATGAAAGAATAATAACCGTAATGGATCCTTTTGTAAGAAGAGGTGAATTTTTGATTGTATGAAATATATAATAAAGGATATCAAAGAATCATTAATGGATACTTAATCAAATTTTAATTCATTTGTTTATTTTATTTAATAAATATTCATATCATATAAAAATAATTATTACATTCTAAGTTGAGTAGCAATTAAATGCCATTCATGATAATAATATGTTATACATAAGTAATAAAAATATTAAATAGAATATGGATTATAATTTATCGAGGACGAGAAAATACGATTTGTTGAAACATAATTATCGCGTCAATTGTAAACAGCAAGCCATTAAATCCAAATGCTGATGAACACAAAACAAGTTCAAACTTTCCCATATCTTTATGAAATTGAAGTAAAAAATATGAAGATATAATACATAAAAGTACTTGTACAATTGAGCCAATAAGTACCTGCAGAATATCACAATATATACATTAAATGTGTTACATACATAAACATAATAAATCGATAAAAAATAATTAATCAGTTAGTAATTCACAAGAAAAAAAGGTATTTTATATTAAAAATCATAAAAATTAGCAATTATAATTGTATTTTCATATTTTGAAGAAAAATCGTTTTTAGGTATGTTTATGAAGTTGAAATCGTATTATAAACTTATAATACCATAAAACTTTAAAGTTCTTGTCTGCAGTTGTACCATACAAGTATTAACGAATAAGTGATTAATCCAGTAAGTTAATAGTTTATTGTCTATTTTTGTTTCATAAAATGAAGAAGAATTAATGAATAAAAATATTAATTTTTATACATAAAAATTATCTTTAATTGTTTTAACAATTATAATTTTATAATATATGAAAATATTTATATAGTCTTAATAATAAGTATTTATTTTTTTAATTTAATAGAATCAATGCTAATCAGCTTTTTATTATAAATAAGAATATAAATAATAAATATACAAATGTAATAATATGATAATTCTTTTATTTAGGTCTAAACTTAATTAACTTAATTAACAATAATCCTAAAAATAAACATGAATTAAATTGTTATGCGAATAAAAAAAATGAAATATGTGTCTCCGTACTAAAAATATTAAAGTAAGTTTACATTGTGCACTATTTTTGAAAGTTGAGCATTTTAGAGAAGTTAGATTTAAAGTTATAAAATAAAAAAAACCCTGAAGTCAAGTATTATTAGGAATACGAGTATCAAGTAATTCAAGTCTTAGGATATTTACTCGACCTTCAAATGAAATTGATACCAAATTTATCACGCCTATCTGAAAGGGAATTGAGATTAAGAGCTTGACTATAATAGGCTTGTAATCATGTTTTGGGGTGAGGGATATTGACGCAAAAACCAGCAAAGCTCATAAAACAGTTTTGTACTCGATCAATCTGGTGAATGTCAGCGGCAGAAAATGGTGACTATACAACGGACCTATATTGAAGAACCAAACGGACTAAGGTTAGGTTATTAAAGAGAGTCATTAAGCAATAAATTTCATAACACAAAAATTTCCTTTGTATAATTTTTATTTATTTAATAGTTAATTTATTGTTTATCATCAATCTTAAAACTCTTAAAGTCTTAACCTAGTTAAATTTTATAAGTACTACTCTTATATTAGTTACTTCATTGTAAACCATATAAAAATATAATTATAATATATTTTACTCACCAATTTTTTAGGAATTTGTTCTTTAATCAATAGTCCACTTATGACAAGCATGGAAAAAAACAAACTTACATATATAGAAACTTGAGTGAAAACAATTTTGAAAAACCAGTGCGAGTCGTGTTTTTGTAGTTGGAGTAATTTAATATAGTCAGCAATATTTTTATTTTTGAATCCCATCATACAAATGGCTATCATAATTGGGATAAGCTGAAAATTAATCATAACATATTATAATTTAACTATTATATAAAAAAAGTTGTGTAAATAATATTTTTCACTAATTATATTTTTTAATATTTTAAATTACAAATAGAAAATTTCTAGATTCAAAGAGGGTTACACATATATTATGTAGATGAAACCCCCAGGGGATTTTACAGAGTAGTATGAATTTGGGATAGTATTTTAGTACAATAATATTTTTTATTTTTTATAAATAAATTAGAATAAATACTTATTATGTATTTATTAAGTATTAATTAATAATTATTACTATACTTAATTTTGAATTTTAATATATGTAAAGCTTTATATGTATATTATTAAATGTGTATTTTTTATTTGAGAATTTGACACGCATTGTCATATTTTTAGGTAGTACCTATTGGTAAAGTGTCACGTAAAACTTATAAGTAGGTACCTAGTAATCGTTGTTAGTAGGTTTGTAATATTATGTACGTTCTCTTGTATGATGAATATGTATAAGTATTAATTTATAATTTTAGTGCGCCATTGGTCAGAATGGACAGTAGTTACGTGTTGTGTTTGAAACATGTGGAGTATATATATATACACATTTTATTATTCAAATGAAAACATTGTTGTGGTTATATAAGTTACAACAAAATAATAAGAACATTATTATATATATTTACAAATCTATGATTTTAGATTAAGGTATCTTAAGTGTTTGTATTTTATACTAAGCCCGTTTACTAATAAATTATTATTTGAATGAATAAATAAAATACATAATTAATTAAATTAGTTCATAAATATAAATTATTATTATATTTACTATGGGAATATTTATTATTTTTAAAGATTATTGAAGAAAATTATAATATCAACAGAGCTTTTACTTTACATCTAAAATCTCAACACTAAAAATATTTATAATAATAATAGATTAATTAAAAATATTTACACTTAATCAAACAGAGTAAATCACAGAGCATGCTTACCCTTATTTTCTTCTTCAATAATAAAATTATTCAAAATTATTAAATTGTTAAATTTATAGATTATGTTTACAAATTCTTGAGATTTCTTATACTATTTAAAGAAGATTTTGTTGCGATACAAACTTTTATTTTTCAAACTTCAACCTTTTCTACCAGAAAATATTTAATGGATAATTTTTCTAAAAATATTAATAATATATATAAATTAAAATTCGAACGACTAGTTCTTGAGTTAATAACACTGTGTACTAAAGATAAGTTCATGATAATAAGTATGAAAAATGTGAGGACATCAGTATTTTGAACATTTTAGTAATTACTTAGGTATTTATATACATTTCTTAATAATTCAAATAAAATAAATACTATATCCAGTATTATATCCATTTTATACATTTATAAAATATCCTTGGTTAAATACTATATTATTGTTATTAATACAAAGATTTTAATAACTGAAAAATTACCTGTTCTGATTTAAAATTAAGTACCTACGTTGAAATTTTCAAAAAAAAAAAAAATCATTTGAAAAACAGAAATTTATATTACTACGAGATACTTCAATGATAAAAAATCTTAAGAATTTTAAAGTAAAATCTTAAATTCTAAAAAACAAAAATTGAATATATTTATTGTTAGAGAAAAATTGAGTTGAGCATGTTTAGAGAATCACACTATACATTCATTCAATGAAATAAGTATTTTGTATGCAGGATAGGCTTATTTAACTGAAGTTAAAGGTCATTTTGAAGGATTCGTCATGTAGTTTTGTCCAAACATTCATAATATTTACACATTATATTAATAATCCTTCAACGAATAAATAAATAAAGTATAAAGTATAAATACAAATTTAAAGACCGCGATAAAATGATTAATAAAATGTTAAATCTAAAACAATAAACTACCTAATTCACTCTAATAATAGATATTTAACACTAATAAAATTAATTTTATTTAGATAAGTTAAGTCAAAATTAAATATATAAAGTTAATAGTTAACAACAATAAATTTAATTTTTTAGAAGAAAAATATAATTATCTTAACTCAGTAAAAAAGATGTACTTAACTATCAATTTTTTTTTTTAAATTACCATCTAGCTTTATCACACAATAATAATTGTCAACTTTCAAAATTATTAAATAATAACTAAACATTAATTACGAAGAGAATTATTATATCGCACTGTTTGTTTTCGCTTTCTGATCTAAACGCAGTATTGCAAATTAAATAATATGCGTTCAGTAAAATCTACTATAATATTATTTGTTGTTAGTTTTTGTATTAGAGAAAAAACTTATTATTAAACTTAATGTTGATAATATAACTGGCTTTTTCATTGAATTATTTAAATATTATAACTATTTTTATGTAAGTTATAAGTATATGTAAAATATTACAATTTAAAAAATGTTCATATCTCGCTGTAACATTTAAAAATCAAAAAATTCAATGTACAAACATAAATAAAGTTCTTAACTATTATGTTAATGAAGGATCTATCCGCTCTAGCTAAAACTAATAACAAAGGGTTAGTTCTAGAAAGATAAAACAATTAGTGTGTTAAAATCCTCTAAAGAATTTATCCTACTATTCTATCTTATAATAGTTATATAATGTTAAGATAATTATACGCAACTAGTTTATTAAATTAAAAAATAATTCATTTGGTAAATTTTTATTTAAAATCGTTATATGCAGTGTGATGAAATAAAAATCAATTAATTAATTTCGTATAGCTAAAAATATGCATTTACTATTTATATGATTTTAATTTATCATATTATATTATTATATATTATATATATTATTTATTTATAAACATTTACAAGAAAAAAGCTAAATTATTCCAATGAATTTTTTAATTATTTTAACTGCTTATATTATTAATCTCTTTAATTTTAAAAAGTTCAAAGTAAAAAAATTATCAACATTTTTAAATTTTAATTTAGTTTTAATTGTTCAACCATAGTTAATAGTGCAGCGTTTGCACGCTGTGAGATTGAAATATAGAACAAAAAAAACTATTCAACAAATTATATTCACAAATAAAATAAATAAAAACTATGTATAAAATACTCATATATACTTATTAGATATAATGTTTAATGATGGAAATATTTTTGAACTTTTATGGGGGAAAAAAAAACTAAATTAAATTTTATGAGCCCCTATGTGGATGATTTTTATACACGGATTTTTTAATACCTACCTTTAATTTTTTATTCAACCAATAAAAAGTTACTGCAAACGTGTTATTTTAGGATATAATTTATTTGTAATGTTATTAAATACACACAAAAAAGTTCATTAATTTTGAAAAGTGTTTCACTTTTAGTGCCTTGTTACAAATATATCACAATTATGAATGATGATGTTTTAATTTTGGCAAAAAAAAAAAAAATTTATTAAAAAGGTAGTATGTACAGCTTTCTTGTATGTTAAGTGTTTAATAAAACACTATTATATCACTTTTACAGGTGTGTTCAATTTTAATTCAATTATGCACGAAAAATGATTCTAATTGGAAACGATCTATCAGCCTATATCACCAAGTGAAATGCTTATTTTATGTAGCTATTATAGTCATTAATTTTCTTTTTTTTTTGGTATTATAGTAAGTACCAAGTTGACATAGTTTTTTCTAAAATATTGCATTTATTATATTATTATTATTTAATTATAATAAATATATATATATATTTATACCATTTCATATCAAATTTAACAACACAAGATATGATACAATTTTTCTTTAAAAGCAGTAAGACAGTAAAAATAGATTTAAAGTACCTATAAATAAATAATATTTTTGCGTACAGAAAAATTCATAATAATATCTAAGTACATAAAAGTTGAAGTTCTCGTGAATATTGCTTTTAAATTATAAAAAAAAATATATAATTAAGACACAGTTATTTATCGTTAAAATAAGAAATTTCGTTTAAATTAGAACTTAAAATGTCTAAAAAAATAATTCTCTTAACAAATTTTTAAATTTAATGATCTTAAGAAAATGTTCGATAAATTTTCTAATTACAAAATAATTTACTTATTTTCACCATTTTTTAAAAAATTTTGTCAAAATTCTAATTTAAAATACTTTAAAAAACATTGTGGGAACAGATTTTCGATAATTTTTAATTAAAAAATGAACAACTTTTGAGAAGCTTTGATTATATTTTCAAATAATTCTTGTAAATAGTTTTTAATCGACACAAATAAAAAAAAAAAACTAAAAATTAAAAATTTCTTTTACTTATTAATAGCTTTAATTGCTCAAAAAGTAGTCAAAATATCTTAACTATTTGATAACATGAACATTTAGAAAACATTTTCAGTATTAACGGTTACTCGTAGTTACTTTCTAGTTCTTAATTATATATAATTTCATGAATATGACCATAGATTCATGGATATACAACCCTTAACTATTTTATTTTTATATTTTATATATACTATGAAATATACAATATTCCGATACCATGCAATAGATATATCTAAGCAATAATTTCAACATTTAATGAAATAGTTTTCATCAAAGTTGTTTTCAACAATATTAAAATGTGTTTGGTATTAAAATATTTAGAGACTTAATATATAATATGATTTATGTGTGAAAACTACACAGAGAATATTTAAAATATTGTGGTACGTCTCCTGTTTACGACATACCTACCTATATAATAAAATATATAATCTTTATGAAGATTCGTTTTATTTTAAAATAGTAGTCAACAATGAATCATTTATAATTACATACCTATGTGTACATCATATTATTTAGATAATATTGAATCAAAAAAAGTTATTATTCTTACGATAACACCACCTCTTACAGTGAAGTAGGATAATGAAATAAATTATGATATTAAATTAATAAATAAATCAAAAGAAATAGTGTTTTTATTTAATTTTAATAATTGTCATGTTTTTTTTTTATTATTACGTTCATATTCATTGGTAACACACAGTTAATATTGTTAATAACCAGTAGTTTCTACAATTTAAACAGAAATTAAAATTTATTAAAATAAAGTACAAGTAGGACATAAAAGATAAATAATAATACTTAACATATCTAATGACGTCAAAGAAAATTTAATAAATTGTAGTACAATATTTTTTTTATAAGTGTTTAATGATAGAAATTTGATCAAATTTTTCGATTTGTAGTTAGATATTTATAAAAAATTTTCTATTTATCAAAAATAAATTTGTCACTTTAATTTTTCACGAATAACGATATAGTTGATATACTATTGTTTTTTGTATGTTTTAAAAATATTATTCTATGAACAATAGTTTATTTTTAAATGTACAAAATATTCTCTTAAAATAATTTTCTAATATGCTACTTTAAAATTTTAGATTTTCAAACAAACTGTTAAACATTTGAAGAAGTTCAAATTTGTACAAAATTACTTATTTAAACGATAAATAATAATGCTAATTATTATGCTATAAATCAAATTCATTATTCGCGAGAACTTATAATTTGTATGTATATTACATTATAATTAATTTTATTAATTTTAATGATATTTTTGATTTACTTTAAGAGTAATAACTAATAGACTACTATGAATTTAATTCTATTGTTTTATACTGTACTTATAAGTTATATGAACATTGAACATGTTTTAAATTTTGAAATATTTAAGTTAACGTAACTCAATAAGAGCTAGTATGTACTCGTATAATCATAATAATTAAAATGCTAATAATAAATGCAAAATTTTCGGTAAAAACTATATCAATTTATCGTAATGCTAAAATTAAAATAAATGACCTTAATAGCTATTAAAAACCATACCATGAATTAATATACTTAATGATTTAGGTTAACACTGAGACTGATCGTCTCCGCTCAGAATCTTTTTTCGTATTTAATAATATATCATTAAATTCAAATTTAACACACTCATAATAATGACTCACTCGACATCTAATATACAACAGAGGCTATCCACTTTTCTACTTTTTTTTGTTTAAACTCTAAATATGTAAGTTTTTTGTTTCACCGCAATAACACGTTAACACGTATTTGAGACTAACTACTTTTCTACAATGAATAACCACAATATTTATAACAATAACAACGATATCATACGCAAATCATTATAGTACTATAATATTAATTTAATATATTATAATATTATTGACTATTGTGTCACCTTTGATTTGTCGTCACACGTTACACACACGCGTGATCAGGATTTGTGGTTTAACGCCAACGTTTGGAAGGACTAATATAATACGAAATATATACCAATTCTATTCTAAATTCGGTTGAATATTGGGCTGTAACATGATTCCGAACTTTTATAGGAACTAAGTGAACTTAAATAATCATTTATATTCTCATAACCTTGTGCTTCTGCACAATATAATTGCCCGTGAATTTAATAATACACTTCACAGATTTTTAATATAGCTATAGGATTGTTTTTATCAAACACAAAATAGAGGTGTAAAATAATTATATCTAATTAAAATACCTAACTACGTTTTCTAATAAAAATTCTACAGTAGAAACCTGTAAAAACTCCATTTAAATCGAAACCTTTTTAAGATAAACGGACTAGTGGTCAAATTTAATGTATCTAAATTTCATGCAATATTATATTTAATTTGTATATTTATAAATCACATCATACATACAATTTAAATTCCTATTATTAGTAATATGCAACATAAATAATTTGAAAAAATAATTAAAATAAGATAGTATTTAATTGTAAAAAACAATTTTTCAAACTGTGCGGTAACTCTATAATTATTTTATTTTCTGTAACCAATGGTCAATAGCTAACAAATGTATACATATATAATATATGAGTGTATATGTGTGTGTACAAAAAAATTCTATGTGATCCAACCTTTAAAATTCAAATTTTTAAAATCCCTTCTTATCGCACATCTAAAGTAACAATTGTTCCAATAATTTCAAGTTTATACGCGTTTTGTCGTTTTTGAAAAATAAAGATGAGTGAATGGTATTTAAATTTTATTTATTTAGATTTATTTGTATAAAAAGTAGTATTAGTTAAGATTATATTAAAATAAATGCAATTAATTTTTATTATCTATAATATTGTAACACCTATGTACACTTCAAAACATTGTATTTTTTTATGATTTTCCCCATTATTTTTAAAAATACTAAGAAATTTTAACTTGGTATCCCCAAGAAACAACTAAAAAAACATTTTTATTAGTAGTCACTCTTAAAATTAAAAATCAAAACAATTTTTTTAGAAAAAACAGCGTCATACAAAAAAATATACATTGTAATCATTGTAAAATCAATACATTCATTGTTTCGATCAAAATCGAAAATCGTTATAAATATTAAAAAAAAAAAAAAAAAAAAATAGAAAAAAATTCAAATTTGTTTGATCTTTTACTTGATAATTATTAGAGCTTATACTGCAGTACATAATAATAGGTATTGAAACAATTTTATTCAATTTAAACGAATTTCGTTGTCAAACTACTATGCTAATATTGAATGATCCAAAGCAATGCATTTTCTTACCATTTCGGCGATCCTTAACAGCATCAACATGTTGGCCGATGGTCGATGGATGACGGAAATATAGATAAGTATGTATTATGTATAATATATCTAATATATATTTATGAAATACGACGCCGTTGTGATATACTATACAGATGGAACTCAGCTGCTGATATACGTTTATTGAATGTTCCTGGGCCGTCAAATTGAATTATCGAACCACGTTGATCTGTAAAAAGCGCGCAAACATCATAAACGCAACGGCGATGACGATGATAATATCGATTCCTACACGAAGATCTACATCGATCGTCACCTATGATACCTAATGTGCTAATATCCACGTAATGAGTATTACGAGTACGCAACCACCCACCTTTTAGCCTGCAATCGAATATTTATCACTACGTAAATAACACTCGAAACATCGCCATTTCGTGGCGGTAGTAAGTACTATACAATCGATGTCGGTGAATCGCGCACGCGTTCATACCTAAATATAATATAATATTTTACTCGATTTCGATGCGAAGAATTTACGATATCGCGACGTAAACATCGATGTGTGCGCGCTCCGATACGGCGCTTGGTTTTTAAAAGATTTTTGTTTATGAGGTCAACCGTTATATTTTATTTAAGTATAACAATGCGGCACTTGGAGACTGTGTATAGTTCGGGCACCGCAATCACCACGCGACGTGTCGACCTTGTTTTGTGAATGACTGTGTATGTGTGTGTGCGTGTGTGTGCGGAGGGGAGGGCAAAGAGTGTAATGATCATGATGATACGTGTTATTATAGGACTAGATGGCGTCACTATCGACTTTAAGCAAAATATTTGGTAATAAATAATAATATTCTAGTCTCTACACGGTATAATGCTTTGTGATTTTCGATCGTCGAAATTAATAGTACTTATATTATTTTATAGAATCTCCTAAGTTCTCCGGCGGAAACGCACAAAAAATTGAAAACTATAAATTATTAAGTATATAGTCTCGTATATGTCCATATTATGAAAAGAGCATCCCCATCCCACTGGCAGATCCGTTTTAAGATAATGTTTAGGTATTCGTATTTCGGAGTCCTCGAATATTTAAAATTTCATTTATATTTTCAATAAAATACTTGAAATGTAAAATATCCTAGAACTGCATAAAACCATTAAAATGTTTTAAAACTTAATTTCATATAAAATTAAATTGTATAAGTACCTACTTCTCTTTAATACGTGATTCTGATTTTCAATTGATAAATTATTTGGTTTCTCAAAATAAAAAATTAATTAGTGCAAAATATTGTCTTTGATATCCAAGTGCAATTTTCAAAAACTCGAACCCGGACCATTGGGTTATGATTGGATAATTAATTAAATTATGTGCTCGATTAGAGTATATATATATATATATATACGTTAACTATTGAGACATAATTGTATTAAAGAAATATTAATATTTTAATTTAATCTTTCTACATTACCAGAATAACATCTTTAAAAAATATAATTTTAAAATATATTAAATTTATTCGCATTGTATATAGAAAAAAATTAAATGCACTTATTCTCTCGTTCGACTCTAAAAGACAATGTTTTGTATTAAAACACTATTTTAATACAAAAAATAGTTAATATATCGATATAGTATATTTTATAATTTATTTATTATTTAATAGTCATTGTAATACAATTATTTTTCATTTATTTTATAATTTTGTAATTTAAAATACTATCTCTATTAATTATTTATTATATTGTATGTAAAAAAATAATATTTTTTTTAAGTAAAAATCTGTTATTATTATTAAAAAAGCATATACACCAATACATTTATAATACAAATATACGTGCAACTATAAGTTATTTAAGTTATGAAATTATTTTGTTGTAAAGATAACACGTTTCAAAGACTCTATATCAAAAATATATAAATGGTATATTATTTATTAGGTGATCATATAAATATGGTATAATATATTATTATACCTAATATTTTATATTTTTTAACTTTTATTTTTAAAACATACAACCTATAAAATAATTTTACAACAAGCATGTTTGAGGATTTATATATATTGGGTTAGTTGACATGATGAAGTAATCACCCAGTGGCAACACTTACTGGCTAAAGTACCTAATATTTTAAACTAATTAACAGAATAAATATTTATTGTATAAGAAATATAATATAAGAAATTTTTAAATTGTTATGTATTATTAGCTGAAAACATTTTTGTGCAGTTAAATTTGACGTACTTATATATATATATATATATATATAT